TTCTGTCCAACATATTGGTATCAGAAAGCTTCCGATGTGCCCAACAGAAGTTGTGTTCAGTTTCTGATTTCTGGTTGTATTTGCATGACCTTGTTGCTGTGTTGGTGCTGAGTTCATTTCCGAATTTGTACATCTATTTGCATGACCTTATTGCTGAGCATTCTAACTGCTATATTGGGATTGCAATTGAGTTCACTTTCTGAAATTTACAAATGAGTTTGAAAAAATGTAACTTCATTTTCAATTTTAGATTTCTACTTCTATTAAAGTTGTGTTCACTTTCTGAAATTCTTGTATATTGAAGTTGTGTTCAGTGATTTTTGGTTCTATTTGCATGACCTTCTTGTTGTGTTGGTGCTGAGTTCATTTTCTGAATTTGTACATCTATTTGGATGACCTTGTTGCTGACAACTACAACTGTTATATTGGGAATGCAATTGAGTTCACTTTCTGAAATTTACAAAATGAGTTTGAAAAAAGGTAACTTCATTTTCAATTTTAGATTTCTAATTCTATTGAAGTTGTATTCACTTTCTGAAATTCTAGTATATTGAAGTTGTGTTCAGCTTCTGATTTGTGGTTCTATTTGCATGACCTTGTTGCTGTGTTAGTGCTGAGTTCATTTTCTGAATTTGTACATCTATTTGGATGACCTTATTGCTGACAACTACAACTGCTATATTGGGATTGCAATTGAGTTCACTTTCAGAAATTTACTAATGAGTTTGAAAAAACGTAACTTCATTTTCAATTTTAGATTTCTACTTCTATTAAAGTTGTGTTCACTTTTTGAAATTATGGTATATTGAAGTTGTGTTCAACTTTTGTTTTATGGTTCTATTTGCATGACCTTGTTGTTGTGTTGGTGCTGAGTTCATTTTCTGAATTTGTACATCTATTTGGCTGACCTTGCTGCTGACAACTACAATTGCTATATTGGGATTGCAATTGAGTTCACTTTCTGAAATTTACAAATGAGTTTGAAAAAAGGTTACTTCATTTTCAATTTTATATTTCTAATTCTATTGAAGTTGTGTTCTCTTTATGAAATTCTGGTATATTAAAGTTGTGTTCAGTTTCTGATTTGTGGTTCTATTTGCATGACCTTATTGCTGTATTGGTGCTGAGTTCATTTTCTAAATTTCTATATCTATTTGGATGACCTTGCTGCTGATAACTACAACTACTATATTGGGATTGCAATTGAGTTCACTTTCTGAAATTTACAAATGAGTTTGAAAAAAGGTAAATTCATTTTCAATTTTAGATTTCTACTTCTATTGAAGTTGTGTTCAGTTTCTGAAATTCTGGTATATTGAAGTTGTGTTCAGTTTCTGATTTCTGGTTCTATTTGTATGACCTTGTTGCTGTGTTGATGCTAAGTTCATTTTCTGAATTTCTACATCTATTTGGATGACCTTGCTGGTGACAACTACAACTGCTATATTGGGATTACAATTTAGTTCACTTTCTGAAATTTACAAATGAGCTTGAAAAAAGGTAAGTTTATCTGTGATTATGGACTGTCCATCTGTGATTATGGACATTTGTTTAGGACAACATTTGTTTACTGTTCATATGTGATTATGGACTGTCCATCTGTGATTATGGACATTTGTTTATTATATTATGTGTTCTGCAATGCAACTGGCAGTTGCTTCTAATGGACAATTGGCAGTTGGTTATGATGGACACTTGACATTTGGCAGTTGCTTACAAAAAGTTTGTTGATGCATGTTGCTACTATACTGGTGTTACTCTCCAATGTTGCTGGAATCTCATGTTCGCAGATTAGTGCACAATGTATGGTTCATTTAAATGTTGGATGGTGGTTCTTCTTATTTGTATGGTACATTGACACAAGTGGTGCAGAGTTGGGAGTAGTTTATATTATTGTAATTTTCAGGTTATTGCAAAATGTAGGCAATGTATTTTTCATATTAGTGCACATGCATCCAATAGCAATTTTCAAATTTGTGCACAATGCTACCAATGTATTTTTCATATTAGTGCACACGCAGCCAATAGTAATTTTCAGATTTGTGCACAATGCTGCCAATGTAATTTTCTACCAATGTAATTTTCAGATTTATGTAATTTTTGTATGTTCTTTGGACCAATTTATATAATTTGAATTGAAATTTTCAGTTTAGTGTAATGGAATGCAAGCTAACGTGGAATCAAAACTTGGGTTGTGTTCAAAAATCTTTCAGAAAATATATTGCCAAAACCTAGGTTAAGCATACAAGGATGTCAAAAGATTGGATAATGTTGCCTCAAAAGTGCATATAATTTAATTGGTATAGATTGAACTGAACAATATTGTTGGTATATAAATTATATCTTTTCCGATTCTGGTTCCGGACGATTCCAGTTATTTATTTATTTATTTTAGCAAGCCAATCACATCTCTCGATAGACTAATTTATGATTCTGATGTTCATGAAAATCAAGCCAATCACATCTCTATATGGACTAACTTAGATTCAACAATGTGTAACCCACAATTATATCAAACCAAAAGAACATGAATTAGGAGTCGATGCACAAAGTTGAAAATTTTGCAAATCCCTATTACCATGCGGCGAGAAAGGATAGACATATTGGGGGTATTTTGAAGTTTTCACTGTTAAGAAAGACATGCTTGTAAGATGAAGATGGTACTTGAGTATCTCTATACACTCCAATATATAAAAACTAATGGTTAGAAGTGTTAATGGATATATATATATATATATATATAATTTTTTTTTTCTAAATTTCTCGAACCATGACCATTAGATATCAATTAATAATTATATCAATATAATATATATTCAATGACATAAGTGAAATACAAGTTACTCTAATCATGTTTGTATCTCGTACTTATTCCACATGATCTTATACATGTAATTTTATTCCAAGTGTTAATGGAAAAAAAATTTGTAATTTATTTTTTCAAGTCATGATGGAGATTATTTTTTTTTTTTATTTTAATTTTAACAAATTATCTCAAATCATAAAAAATTGGATTCATTACATATAAACTTATAATTGTATTAATATATATTTAATTATTCAAAACAAAAACAAAACAGTCTTTTTACCAAACAGATGTCATATTATTGATTCAGAAATTTTGACAATAAAAAGGACTTCTATTATTGATTCAAACTTGTTTTATTTTTGGATTTCGTGAAACGCATAACATTACCAAACGAGTTTTCATGTTTATGACTTCAAATTTTTCCAAACAAATTTTCGTTATCAAACATGGTTTCGATTTCTTTTCAAAACACTTCAATACCAAACGATTGTTTTCGTATCAACTAAAACCATAACACCTAAAACCTATCGCATGCCAAACAGGCCCTAACAAACAGGTCAGCCGTCCTTTACAAGAGCAATCTTTACGCAGTTAGGCACAAAAGACATATCCAAAATGGGGCTACCATGCTCCAGAGACAGATCCAAGAAAATAAAGGACATGCTAAATAGTGAATAAACAGATTCAAGAAAGCCTAAAAAGGGAAAACCCTTTAACAGACAATTTCACCGAACAAGACTGGGACTAGTAGTATATACACTTTGCTGCAATTGACTTAATGTGTCCGACTGTTACTGATCTAAAAACGTACACATTGTAGCGTGTGTGTGTTTATTATTTATTTATTTTTATTAGTTTTTATTTTTTTAATATCAGTTAGTTAAGTACTCTCACATTTCGGAATAGTCCGACACATTCTACTAATTTCATGTGAGTAATAGTTGATGTCATTATGACATCATTGATATTAATAACATCGTAACTATGTCAATCCTCACTCACATAAATGAGTCGGATGTATCCGACATTCAAACTCCAAATCATTATCATTTTGCAAATTACCCACGAACCCCTCGCTTATATTTATACCATAGGACTAATGACCAATTGGTATACACATTGCAGTTGTAATAACTGCAAATGTAAAGAGCAGTCTCATGATGAGCATTATCAGCATTCAAGCTTCAAATACAGTATTGATTGTACTTGAAATCCTGATCCAATTTCAAGATTTCAATTACATGAAGTCTTGATTCCAATGCTCAAAAACCATCCCCGGAAACTGAAATCTTGATTCAATTTCACCACTTAATGGAGCTCTTTCTTTTGGAAATAACCAGAAAGATCTGGCATTACCACACATTCATACTGTTTAGCAAAGCATACATGGGTATCAAACCCCTATTATACCCTGCATAAATCAGTAATCACTTTGTGTACAAATAGCTATTTTTCCCTTGAAAAGAAGAAAAGCTGCAAATGAGTATGAACACGAATGTCACAGCTGAGAATACACCGGGTTCAATCCGTTGGAAATCACACGAAGGCGTAATCTCGTGAGTTGTTAAGACCATCCATTTTGAACCTCATTGAGGTCAGGATCGGGACGATTACAAACACGAAAGAGAATGAGAACACTGTAAAGCTGTTCCAATATTAATTGTCAGTTAAAAGGCCTAAAGCTACAACATACATCAGCAACCAATGATCACCGGAGGCCCATAACACAGCTCACCACAGGTGGGGTGCAGTAGCAAGTCTAGCATGAAATTTCCGATCTGTGACCTGAAAAACCATGTACATATATAGGAAAATTTATGCACGAAAAAGAATAATACAAGTTAGCACTGCACTTCTAATTCAGCATAGACAGAGTAAAACACTAAAAAGATAGCATGTCAGACTTAAATTCTATTGAGAACAAAATCTGCAGCATATGTGAAGGCAACTATCACTTAGGTATTTTCCCTTATTACTCAATGTTCCTCAAAAGCTATTTCATCAAAACATCAGCGTATACAAGAACAAGATTAAATTATCGAAAACAAGAACGAGTTAAAAACAAAGTTAAAACCATTTACGACTTAAGAAGTCAGTGAAACAGGACCCTTACCTTTGAACAAGATGAATGATAACTTGTTTCTCCATTCTCTTCGTTGCACATGCAGGTAGCAGACACGTGATATGAAAATTATCACAACTCTTTACCACCTTTCGAAGCATTTTATAGCTGAAAAAAAGGATGTAGAAAACACATATAATATCTTGTCCGGAGAGACAACGTGCGGAGACATGAATTTTCTAAACAATACATACAAGAAAACCATGAGCTCCACTTATCTATAATGCCAGAGTTTGCATTTTTACAGAATTAGGAAAGATGCAACAAGGACACGATAACAAAATCTAAGAACATAAAATGTATTATAGTTGTAATAATAGGAAGCAAAAAGAACAGTTCCACAGGAGCTCTAAAAGCATTCAACCTTCAACTGCAAGTATGATGATTAAACATTCAAATTGTCTTTCATCTTCTGGGTCCAGCCACTCCCTCCCAGCCTAGGATTCTGCAGGAGGTTGCTGTTGCTGCGGCCAAGTCTGCTGAGCCATGTAAGGATAAGGCTGCTGACCATATAGGGCTTGATCCACAGGCTTACCGACAAAAATCCCTGGAGCTCCAGCTTGTTGAGCATGCTGTGGTGGCATATAATAGTAAGGATGACCCTCAGTTGGACCTCCAACTGGAAGAGTCCCTCTTGGGATTGATGATAGTACTTCATCTTTCAAATCCTCCCTTGGTACAATATCGACCAAGAAATCAAATATATCAGTCCTTGTGATGGCAGCTGCAATGTCATTCTTTTGAAGCGTCCTCCTTTTGTTCTCTTCTGTGTGGTTCCAAGACCGCAGTGTCAGTTCTAGGATGAACATCTCACAGGCCCTGGCAAATATGACTGGAGCCTCAGCAGATATCATTCTTACATCCTCATCTGCTTTCATTATCTTCTTAATCCTAGCCAATGGCAGGCTATGGTTCTTAAAGTCAGTTGTCTGCTCAATTTCTTGGTACTGTTTCGCCCAGAAGTTCTGAAGTTGTTGCTGCAGTTGCTGTTGTTGCTGCTGGTGGATGTGCTGATAAGCAAGTTGATGCTGTGCAATCTGAGATGGAGGTGCAGAGACACCTGCTGCCTGAGGAGGAGACTGAAATCCACCAACTGAGGCAGGAGGGGAGGGTCCCATCATTTGGTTAGGTTGATATGGCACCATACCATAGGACATCTGAGTTGTGCTGCCCACCACCCCCATGACTGGGGGCTGCCCATGCCCTTGCTGATCCATTGACTGAGTAGGCCCACAAGAAAATCTTTATGGTACTGACATTTCCAGTGAAAAGTGGAAACAAGAAATAAATATATTAGAAGAAAGAGAGACAACACTAAGCATTTGTTACAAGAAAATGCTCAGCCTTAAAGTTCTTCCTTTGAAAATCCTAAAACGATCAAATAAATAAAAGAGTAAGCAGCTATTTGGTGAAGAAAATGCTCAGCCATAAAGTTCTTCCTTTGAAAATCCTAAAACGATCAAATAAATAAAAGAGTAAGCAGCTATTTGGCAAAGAATATGCTCAGCCATAAAGTTCTTCCTCTGAAATCCTAAAATGATCAAATAAATAAAAGAGAAACCAGCTATTTGGCGAAGAAAATGCTCAGCCATAAAGTTCTTCCTTTGAAAATCCTAAAATGATCAAATATATAAAAGGGTGCACAACTGTATGGCAGATGGTCACCTAAACCCAAAAAACTCGACCAGTTCAAAGAATATAACAAAAATTAAACTGATTTGATGCCAAAAACCATCCAAGACAATTCACATCTAAAAACAAATATTTTATGCCAGAGGATCCTTTACATAGTAATATCAAATTGTTTAGACTTAAGTTCCTCTGCAAGTTTTTCTAGAAACATGAAGGTGGACTCTATGATTTGCTGCTCTTCAGAAACAACCACTGTATGTCCATGGAAAAATGAGATCTAAATTAAGGAAACCATTATTTTTTAATCGATAAGGGGTCATATCCCATCCATTACCAATCAATATTTGAGTATTAAAATCTGCCTTACACACTGGTTATTTCCTTCCAAATCCCAGGTCTTAAAATTGGAGAGAAAACTGGTGTTGGAATTGTGATCACAAAATTTTTGTTACATGGATTTGAAGGCTCTATATTTATGTCAGGGACTGACTAGGTGAGAAACTTAATAAATATATAACTATCTATAATATAATTGCAGACGTTAACCTTTTAAGATTAAAGTTCAAGACGGACCTAAGTATGATAAGCCCCCTATAATTGATAATAGTAAGAGAGATTGTTGATAGACGGAATTATTAAAAATAGAATTTTAATTTTAATTCTATCAAAAGACTTTGTTATAAGCAAATGATTTCTTGTACAAAACAAAATTACTGAAAGATTGTCAATCATACAAGACAAAGAGAACGAGAAGTCATACAGCTAGCTGATTTTAAATAAATTTTTGGCTTAAATATCAATGAGATAGCTAGCTCATACAACAGATCTTATTTGAAAATTTTATAGGCCAAGGTATTTAATATGAAAACATATTTTTGCTACTAGTAATGTTCCTATCATACATGAATCTGCTACATTTTTCTTTTTTCCTGATCCTGAAAATGTATACATATCTTTTTCTTCTATCAAGATACAATGATTCACCATTAAACCATGTTAGTTTAAAGATAATTTAAGGCACAACTATTAGTAACCACCAAAACACATTTAATTTATGCAATTTGCTGGCTTCTTTTACACTTTACTGCTGCTAGATCTATGTTTGTATATAGGCTCTTGTATAATGAATATATGAACATGATAAGAATGTTTTAACCTCATCTAAGTGCTCAAAGGTACTGTAAGTCAACAGCAATGTTCTCATTCTTGCTCTTGCTATAATCTCTTGTTAAAACAAGACCTGAATCATTTTGATATGCTCTTAAACAAATATTGATAAAAAGTGGTCCAATCTGTTGATAGCCCAATTCACACAATTCCTGACATAAGAATCTGCATGTGATATCCACTGTTGGTTCCTCCATATCCAACAGTAACTAAGATACATAAAAAAGGAACAGAGCTGGATTCCTTATTAGTTAAATCTCCCTAGCCAATGCCTACTTCAATCTAGACTGCCATAGCTTAGCTTCTCTTTGCTACTATAGAACCTCCATGGTAGCTGCTTCTCCGTTATAACTCTCTCCTCCACTTTCCTTTTTCTGCTTACACTAATTTGCCTCTTTTTTATGTCCTTTTCTTCTAATATTGATCTCTTTCCATTGTTCTTAGTCATCACTGTGCAGGATTTAGAGTGATTATCAAAGGAAGGAAAAGTTAAAATTAGCAATACCATTTAGAAAACTAATTAGAATTAGCTTAGGCATCAAATGCTATGGCCTACAAGTTTGGAACAAAAATCTAAAGTCTCCAGGTGAATTCAAGTTTCCATTTCTTCTTTATATAAAAAAAACTCAATTATATCAGACTGGTTATCTGATTTTCCATTCCACAATTCTGTAATTCCACAAATTCCATCTTTTTAGCTGTCCAAGATTAAATCAGTATCACACCTCTTAAGAATTCCTCATATGGAATAACTCAAGCACGATCATAGGACAATAGCAACAAATACCCTACTTCTAATCCAACACCACATGATCCACCTTTGCACTTGCTAAATTAGTATATCATACCTCTTATACTTGCACTAATCAAAAACCTCCTCTAAAATAAAATAGAGAAGTATGAGTCGTGTTCAATATCAGCTTTCAAATTTTGATTTCACTTCCAAATTACATAAACAACAAATTATGCAGCTATTCCACTAAGAAATGTGATATTAAGGGTTTCAACTTTGATACAAGAAAATTTTGTTTCTAACTTTTTTCGAAAACATAGTTTATATATCTGTGGTTATTTTCATATGAGTACATGCAGCTTATATAGAAAAAACAAATGACGGGTTTTATATAGTGTGAGCATCTCAAGCATCACAGATTCACAAGAAGTCCTCACTTGCCCTTCCCCTGTTTTCAAGAATAACCCTAGTGATATCACTCGAGATGGGAATTTCTGAAATCTAGCTTTTTCCTATTGTTAAATTACCAAAAACTTTATTTGTACAGTAACACTCCTTCCATGGCAATCAAGCCTTTGAAGGAAAAATTATTTTTAAAGAGACACTTCAACTGAATAACAATCAAAGAAATACATGCCATAAAGGATAAGGATGATCGTTTTTCTTTTTTTGGTAAGTCATAAAGAATAATGATGATCACTACTCCATCAAAAGAAATCTAGATTAATAGTTCCTAAAAGTAAAGAAAGAAAATTCCAACACCATACTGAACTTTATAAAAGAGGAAAACAAAAGGAGAAACTAAACATATATGAGATATTACCAATTATTGGAAATAAGTAAAATTTACAAAGAGCTTAAATGTTAAAAACATTCATGAAATGGAAATATTGTGTATGAACATAAAGAGTCAACACGTAAAAATAACCTGAGAAATAAATAGATGTACATTTAGATGTACAAATAAGACAAAAGTGTGAAAATAAATTGAATTTCCTTCAAAATCAGAGCATTTGACACAATTATATAACCATATATGAAAAGTACCAACACCTTAAAAACCAATCAGACACAACAGCCACCACTTTTTTACATTTATTCAATTTTTTTCTTTATATATATATATATATATATATAGAGAGAGAGAGAGAGAGAGAGCGAGAGAGAGACACTTTTTATCAAGAATCAAGACATATAATCAAGTCTCAAGTTCACCAGGAGAATTAGCTTAACCAAAATCAACCACCCAACATTTGATTTTTCAAATACAATAAGCCATGACATAACCTCCTCCGCATTTTCGCATGCGAGGCTTCGTATGATTATCAATGTCTTCTATCTAGTATCTATATGAATGCCTATACACACACCCAAACCCACACAGACACACACACACACACACACACACACACACACATATATATATATATATATATAACTAACATAGGTAAAAGTAACTATCAAGTTCATGATCAATAACCATTATGAAAGAAGGCAGGTCAGCCAAATGATGAATACAAGAACATCATCTGGAAGAGCAAACCCTAGAAAAATAATCGCATAAAAAAAATATCAAAAAGTAAATCTATAATTGACCAAGCGTATAAAATGGGTACCTTCTGAAGCTCCCTTCACTTCGATTTCTTGATCTCATTCAGCGATCAAAACCCTAATCAAAATTGAAAGAGAAAAATCGAGTAATTAAAAACCGTAGAAGAAAATCGATATAATTGATATAATATTCGTGTATAACTAAGAGCTCTGTTGTCATATAAAAGCAGGTTTGAGAGTGATAGATCAATATGGTTCGAATCAATTGGTAGTTCATACAAAATGAAAGTGCATGTTGACGAATATATAGATATATACACACACTTGCATACCTGAAAAGCTGATACCAAAAAGAAATTTTATAGTGGAAGGCGCGAGTTGAGTTTTGTTCGTCAAACTCTACTTTTAGCTCTTATATTAGCCAATTACTCAAGGAAGAACCTAACTTTCAAGATTGCATATTTGCTTTTCCACGTAAGTATTTGATTATTTCACAATAAAAAAATTGATTTACAATGGTCAACTATCAAGGATTTTTCTTACTTTTAATAATTTTAAAGTTTTTGTCCTAGGAATAATGGATTAGTAAAATGCTAGTACCTGTACATGAAATATTTTAATTTTATTATAATTATTGGTTTTTATATGGAAGATAAGGCACCGTAGGTGGAATAGTGCTTGAAGCACTGAGGTGTAACTTTTGAGTGGTCAACCAGAGTGCGATCGAAGTTCAATGTGTTATTCAGGTAACGAATTTGAGCAACTTTTTTCATTACTAACTTACAATTAGGGTTAAGAATCGGTGATCTCTACACTCATCTCTACATCTTTGTTGGATGCTGGTGCAGTGCAAATGGAAGAGTGCTTTCTTCAATCAGTTGAAGATCCTTATAAGATTAGACTGAGTTTTCATTAAGAGATGCAGTTGATGGTGTGATCAGATTGCGTTTTTATTTATGGGTCTTGAATAATTTATGTTAACTTTTAAATTTGTTTTTATTTCATGTTTAGGATATTATTATTATTCTAGTTTTATTTTATAAGTCATCTGTATGAGTCATGTGACTACTTAAGGATTGTTGAGTCATTTTTTTAGCAAAATACTACCCTGTATATTATAGTTATTTGAAGAGTTAGGATTATATATTTGCTAGGCATCCTTTGTTTGAAGTTGTAATCAGGAGCTTTTACGTATTATTAATATAATCAATCTGCTATGGCAGCTTTTTACCTCTCCCTTTTCTTTGGGATTAAGTTGTGGGTGTGTAAGCTATTCGTTAACTTGAATTAACGCTATGTTAGCTTGAATTAACGCTATGTTTTCCCTTCTTCAGATTTAACGTTATGTTTTTCCTTCTTCAAATTTATTTCTTTTCTTTCATAGCTGATTGCATTAGTTGGTATCAGGGCAAATTTTGGTCCGGTGGTTTTGTGTAGGGTTATCGGATATCTCTCTTAGGTTTTGCAACATGCCACCAAGAAGAAGAAAACCGCCTCATACACCAGTCGTTCATCCTCATCAAAACGCAGCAATTGATCAACAACAAGTGTTTGCTGTGATAGAAGATCTAAGAAAGCAGATTGAAGCTTTAGCCATGCGCGTTGCGCAAACCCCGGCCCATTCTTAAGATGGCGTTGAATATGAGAAAGAGGACAATCTAGAAGAGGATTTTGTTAATCCTTTTTTGTAGAAACGCGACATCCAAACCAGCACCTATTCTATTTGAAGAAAGGCATTGGGTTTGTGACTTTAAAGAGGAAATTCCTGACTTTGTAAGATATCTTAGTGGAGAAGAAAAACAACTTTTGATTGAGGAAGATGATGCAATCGTGGTGGTAAAGCCAAACTATGATGATTACCCGGAGGAAAAAGACGACAATATCCTATACGGTGATGTAAGTGAATTTTTGGTAATGCAAAAGTCATTGCTGATTCTGAAACATGAGGATGATAAAGTAGAGAAATTCAACAAGATAAAAGAAGAGGATAATGACAAGAAATTTGCTAATGAATGTGAGCAACATGGATTAGTTGATGATCATGTTAATGAATTTTTCAATTGTAAATCCAAGAGAAGGTGGAAGATTTAAGCACTAAAACAAGTTTACGTAGCTTGGAAAATGTGGTGGATCATAAGGATTTTGGATTTATGGAGGTGAAAAATAATGGATTTAACTTTTATAATATGATTTGGAGTGAATTATTGGAACGCACTACAACTGTTAGGCGTGCACTAGAACTTAGAACAAAATAAAAGTTGATTAAACTTTTATTTGAGGATACATGTTTCACTGAGTTTTGCACATCTACCCAATTTCAAAGGAAGTTGTTTGAAATGGGAAAAATCTAATCTCTTCGTGTCAATAAAATTGAACTAATTTTCGATCAACTGAACAAAAGAAAAATGATTATTTTCCCAAAAGGACTCAGTATACTTAGTTAAGGAACCGAAGAATAAAATATATTACAAATTTCATAATTCTGGCACGTACTCTACCAATAATTGTGTGTTTTTTCGAAATGTTATCCAGGAGCCTATTGACAAATAGGTGCTCCTATTCCCGAAAGAAAAAAGAGGCAATGACAATAGATGCCACACCATTTCCAAAAGTGACTATGTCCATAAACATGATCGAAGTCACAAGGAAAGCAAAGTAAGACAAACCTGCAAAAGGTTTCCCCAATTTTGAATCCCAAGGCCCTCGATGTGAATAGAGGGTGCAGGAATGCATACCTAGCCATGTATCAAATCTACCTTGTGAAAGAAAAACTCATACAAGGGACGACTGAATTAGCTATCTACCAAATCGGACTCGGGTCATATGGCTAGTTCTTCTAAAAGGCCGAGATTGGAACTTTTAGTTTTGATAGGATGAACCTCATCTTCTCGCTCTTCGTCTCTGTTGGTAGCTGGTTTAGATGATTTCTACTTTAGCGACATTACAATCTTGACACTATTCGGCCAGGCGTGTCATTAAATGTTTGTTCACAAATGCAAATTTGGAAGTGTGCAGGCGTGCCAGAGTCTCAAAACACTAAAGAGATATTGAGCAAAAGTTATCATTTTTTGAACGATCAGGCGATTGTGGAAGAGAAGAAATAAAAAACACCTCACGGGGCTCTTCATGCCTTAAATGAAAAGGACTTCTAAGACTGTAATGCTAAAGCTAAGGAATTGAAGTACAATACTTGAAAGTAGGTGTTGAATGTAGAGGAATTGAAAGTGCAGTGCTGAAAGATAAAGGACTGGAAAGACTGAACTTGTATTGAAATTGTTGAATTGAAATATTTTGGTGGAGGGGGTTTCAGATGTTGCACCAAGTACACTATTTATAGACCTCCGAACACCAAGTGGGAGGACCTAGGATCAACTTAATAGTTATCTTCCATATGCAGTCTTTTTCTCTTGGTGACATGTGTTTCATGATCAAGCCCGCATTCTGCATTTATCAACTCTTATCTTTAACTTTAAACCCTTAGTTGCCATGTGTCCAACAACCAAATCACTTGTAAGTCCATTATTGAAATAATAGATTCATGTAATGTAACTTACTATCTCATGCTCTTCTTAATAGGCTTTCTCTCCCATCTTTAAATATGCATTTGACAAATGTTTAACCTATTATCTTCATCATCCATCTTTTAGCAATTTAGTTGGCCCACTTGCATCTTTAAATAAAACAATTCTAGTCATAGATATTTTAGCCAAATCAGCCCTTTAATTGGAGGAACTAATTCAGCTTACTTAAGAACCCATTTTCCATGCATTTAGGAGCCCACTTAATCCCAAATTGTGCTCCACGTAAGTAACCCATAATCTTTAATTTTTGCAACTGTTTAACTCATTAATTAACCCACTCTGTGGCTGAATTATATAGCCAGCTGTCACTATAGAATTCTACTGCATGTGAACTCTTCCAACTGTCAACTGAAATATTGCCCAGTTGTCATCTGTTGGTCTTCATAAGTGTTAAGCTCTTATTTACCTTCAGCAACTGCCACTTGTGTCCATATTATTGAACCCATGATTTGATGATGTTTTCCATTGGTTTCATGTCAATGTTGAATTGGCACCACTTAGGCTGCCATTTTTGTATGTCAACAAATAGAAATGTAGAGTTAGAAGTTTAAGAAAAATACCTTTTGTTTTCTCTTTATTGAAACATAATTTATTTATTTTTTTCATTTTAGGAGACTTTTGGTTAGGGATGCTTGGAGACTGTCGGAGGTTTATAAGAAAATGGGGAGAGGTTTTATATGCTCTAGTGTTGATGTTTGGTGTCTATGTAAGCCCATTTCTGACAAATGGAGGACCCTATTTATAGTGCTACTTTGCTTGGCCAGTAGACACTTAATTTTGGAAGTTTTGAATTTGGTTGCGCCTAGGTAACGAGACCCATGCAATTTTTTTTAGAAAAAGGACGTGTTTGAGCTATAGACGCGTCCAATTGCATGGTTGCATCCCGAAGGTTTTCGTTTTCTTTTTCTTTAATTATATATATATTGTTCCAATTTTGGGTCGTGGCTTATGGTCTAGCCTATTTTTCAAGTTTGAATCAAACTTGATCGGGTTAGGAGTGTGAAATTATGATTTTGTCTCTTTTCTTGATCAAGCCAGGAGTCACGCTACGAAGTTGATTTTAGGTGCACCTTAGGGTTTTGGGATGTCCCGGCTGCAATGATGCTGTCCATTTTATGATCCAGTGGTTGGATTTTATGATTTTCCTAACTTGCTAAAACTAGTGTGATTGGAAAAAGAAGATACCAATCTTCAATTGAATTTTGTCAAAATATCCCTATAAATGGTTAGGAGCAAAATGTGATGTCTACAAAATGTATCAAATCTCTTGTTATTGCTTAGGGTAGGCCTTTCTCAATACAAGAATTGATATAATAGTGAAAACAATAACAAAAAAACTATTATATCAATTCTTGCATGAATTCGTTTGTATGTGTGTGTCACTGGGTTATGTTTAATTTCTGTGTATCCAATCCCTAATTATCGATGATTGGAATTAATCTCCCTTTCAGGGAGCTAATTGGGTTATGTTTATCCCAATAAGGCTACTTGCTGATTCTATGGGATTTTCATTTTTATTGGACTAATTTGGTGGGCTAATCGGCCTTATTGGCCCGTTCGACTAGATATGTGTGCAGTCCAAGTTGGCATTATTATGGCCTCATGTTGCCCTGTGGTTCGTTGTTGCCTTGTATGGAGAATTTTTCCCTATGGTCATTTATTTGCTTGAAACTTATAATGGGTGAGAAGAGATCAAAGTAAGAATGCTTATCAATAAAGAGTATATGATATAAAAAAAGTAAAAAAAATCAATAGAGTATATTGCAAATTAATTTTATTTTATGTTTTTGAAAAGAATTGCAAATTTTGTTTATCAAACAAATTTATACACTATTTTTTTATTATTATTATGTTAATTTTTTAAAAACATTTTAAAGTTAACAAACATATTTTTTTGTTTATTGTTTTTTAAGAATAAACCCAACATTTTTACGTTATCACAGATGACCAAAAACAAAACATAGATTATGTTTAAACTTAAATAATAATGGGAAAAATAAAAATAAACATTAAACATAAATGGGTTACAGGCTCACGCTGAGAGAGAGAGAGAGTGAAAAAAAAATAATAATAATAAAAAAAAAAAAATTCTGAGTTTTTGAGTTTCCTTACGGAGTAGTTGTTATCGACGTGGCTATGTGAGAGTCGCACGATCGATCGAGAACAGCCATATAGAGGACCTTCCGCTATTATTTAGGTGTATTCTGAGCTTCTTGGGGGTGAGTCTTTTTCCTGCTCTCTGCGACACTCCATTTCCGCGAAATTCTTCAGCGATTGAATGTATGTGGATTTGGTATTTGATTATATAATTTTTCAATTATAATCGTTATTTTGTGATAATTATCTTCATCAATTGAAATTATTTAACTAACAGATCGCCGTTTGGTTTCTTACTTTCTTTGATGTTTTTCACGAGTTTTCTCGGGTTTGTTATGTTAGTCCGTGTTCGATAACGGTCGTCGAAGGGGTGTTCTTAATTTTATTTTATTTATTTTTGGTGCTACGTTTGACATTGAATTTATCCACTGGAGTTGAATTCAGTTTCTTGTGTTTTTATGCTTTTTATCTCTGTATAATTTAAAGAACTAGTTTATGTGAGTAGTCACTCTATGCAATATATTACCAAAGGATACGTTTGATTTCTTTTGTTAAGTTACAACATATTGCATGAATGCGTTTGTATGTGTGTGTCACTGTGTGTATAGGAAGCCTGTCTTGAAAACACACTAGCAAGCCTTCTCATTGGGGTTGATCTTGGGTTGGAACCAAGAACCCTATTTCATGTGCTCCTATTCACAAATTCTCAACTTATTACAGGATAAGTAACTAAAGTGGGTGAAGTGACGTAGTTTCTGTCATATCAATCTGTCAAACATTGCATCAGAAATGGGTTTTTTTTTTTTTTTTTTTTTTTAGGTGCTCCCTTTGACATTGAATATATCCACTGGAGTTTTATTCTGTTTGTGTTTTGATTTCTGTGTTATATTTAAAAAAACTAGTGTCTGAGAGTAGGCACTTTGTGCAATCTATTACCAAAGGATAGGTTTATTTTGCAGTCTGTTCCCTTCCTTATTAACACCCCATGTGAGCGGGACCAGCATTGGGTAATGGGTAATGCCTTTTTCTATTTATTTTTTTAGTGATGTCTATTGGCTCACTTGAGAGTCTACAAGGTTTGATCAAGCTTCAAGTTAAATGATTTTAAAGATCCATAATAAAATTCTATAATTTAAATTATTTCAATATCTTTATATTTTTTTTCCACTTTAAGATTTTTGTAAATGTTGCAAATCTAAGTATCAATCAGGAAGCAATTGCTGTGGAATTTATCATAAATAAAAAAAAAAGGAGATTGGAAAAGGATAAGATACAACTATTTCAATATAGAGAAGAACCCATAAATGGTAAAATGGCAGTTAGTAGCTCCATGAATTTGGTAAAAATTGTATCATGTATAATAAGAGTGTTTAATGTTGTGGCATATGATATTGTGACTAATATTTTTTATCGTTCTTGGTGCCTATTTTTGGACGCCTGTGTAGGCAAATCTGTCCTACTTACTAGCTATGGATGAACCTGATGAAATGTTTAGGGAGCGAATTAAAGCAATTTGGCAAGCTAGGTATGCGACAAGATGCATTAGAGAGGATGGCATTCCTTGCCAAATTGAAGAGGTAAGCAATTGTGAACTCATAATCTGCCTTTTTTAGTGCTGAATTCACATTTTTATTTTCTTTCTTATTTCATTGTTAACCTTCATTTCTTTTGGCAATTTTTATGACCTGTTTAATTTTTTTCCTGATTCTTAGGGTCTCTTCTTGGGTTCCCTTGCTGCTGCAAATAACAAAAGAGTATTGAAATGCTTGAATGTGACACACATTTTGACTGTAGCCAGTTCAATGGCACCTGCTCATCCAGATGATTTCAAATACAAAACTATTGAAGGTAGAAAATTCTTATATTAGTGAAGAAGTAATGTTTCTTTTAAACAAATATTTCAATGTTTGCACTCCTTGGTCATAATCAATTCTTTTGTAATAAATGAAATTCCAGCTGTTTACCTTTTATTAGCATTTATAAGAAAATGATCTACAATAAGGTTCATGATTTTAGCTTTAAATGAGAATGAATTTGCAGTACTTAGTTGCTTTTATCATCGTTTTTTTTCAAGTTTGCATGATTACTGTATTTCAACTTGATCTTCTCTTAAAGCAATTCTAAATTGAAATTCCAACTTGATTTGGTTATTTTGCTGGTTTTGTTTTCATTGCTGTGTGATGGCTTTATTTCTACAATTTTCTGAAGTTTCTAATGTTCTGCATTAATTTGAAGCCTCAATTAGCTTATGAAGCTGATCTTATTCACAATCTTATGGTGTTATTTTGGATTGAGGTAGTCCTGGACAGAGAAGACATACATATAGCACAGTATTTCAATGAGTGTGTCGAATTCATTGAAGAGGCTAAACGAACGGGTGGTGGTGTGTTGGTACATTGCTTTGTGGGAAGATCCAGAAGGTGATTTATCACACCCTTTCTAGCTTACTTGCCTTTCAGGATTATTTTCTTATTTCTGGTGAAGAAATGTTTTTGACTCATTGCTTGTTCAATGTACAGCATTGATAAGTTGGTCCCTTATTGTTAAATCCGATTTATGATTTGTACTAGAGTTGTATGAATCCCCTACGGTTGCATTGATAATCCAGAATAAACACTTGGTACATTTATGTCTTTCAAAATAATGACACTGAAAAATACTTAACTGATTAGTGTAAAACAGTAAATGAAACAAGTTAGCTGACAATTTGATGTTTGTGCTAGGTTCAGTGCATATAGATTGGTCCTGCCTGAGCTTAGCCTGTCCTATCTTAGCTTGGCCTATCTGTGATAGGAACAAGCGAACAAAAGAAAAGGGGGGGAAAAAAAACAAGATAAGAGAAAGAGAATTTACTGAAAAAGAAGAAAAAGTTTCACTGACAGTCAAGTTCGTAGTTTGGTTGCAAAAGAAAGCAAGACTCTTACTATTTTCTCCTAGCGATCGTTCACAATTTAGAACAATAATAAGCATAAAACGATCAAGTAAATAAATTGCTTGATAAATTTCATAAAAAAAGTTATAATTTTTTTAATGTTTTCACATCCATATTCGTGAAACTTTTCAAAGAATCCAACATACTTCACAGTGTAACCCTTTTTTTTTTAATAAAAAAATATCCCTTTTAATCTGACTTGTGTGTCCATGGCGTGTCTAGGGAGTGTTGTGTCTGTTGTGTGTCCACAGCGTGTCTGTTCATGTCCACGGCGTATCCAAGAAGGAAAAATATTATAGCACGTTCTTTTGGTGTGTCTAACATGAGTAGGGGCTGTGTCCGATGTGTGTCTGAACACTTCGACCTTTTATGGGTGTCCGTACTTATATTGTATAATGTTATTTGGACTTTAAAAGATACAGTCGTCCAAAATTTTATTTTCTTTATATTTTATTGGGTTTGTTGCCACCAATGCCTGTTGGAACATCTCTTCAAAGGAATGATAGTTTGCTATATGAATTTCTGGACACATAGACCTCATAGAAGCTGATCTCTGAAAAAATTTTCTACCTTGCAGTGTGACTATTGTTGTTGCGTATTTGATGAAAAAGCATGGTATGAGCGTGTCCCAAGCTCTGGAACATGTGAAGAGTAGACGACCAATGGCTTCTCCTAATCCTGGTTTTATGTTACAACTGCAAAACTTTGAGAAAATTCTTCAAGGTAGAGAACCCTTGATAATATTGTTTTTAGTACTGAATTGCATAAAGATGTTTGAAATTTCACCTTTTCTTTTATTTTTATACTTTGAGGACTTCGTTTCCTAAACTCATGATGTTTCAGAGTTCTATGACCAAGAATAGATCCAAACTATTCAATTTCACCCCTATATATGTCCAATATATAGTTGGTTATCTTTGATCCCATTTTCACATTGTTAAAATTGTTGCCAAGGAAAGTTAAATTGTCTTGTTTCGAACAATGTTCTCGTATATATTCTTATTTCTTGGAAAGTGATAAAGTGTTCTCAAATGGTATTTGGGTGATAAAAGTAAGACCTGTTGGGCACTTCAAGAAAGGCCACCAAGCAATTAGAACATTAAAAATCAAAGTGAAGAAATATGACTAATGTTATTTCTTTACATAGTTGCATGTCATCTCAGGTGTGGTATATTCATCCCACTTACCGACGGTTGTGAAGATGCTAGTAGCAGTTCATTTGTCCAGTGTTCTTTAAATTAATTGACTGGATACTTGAACTCACAAAAGCCTTCTTCTAGCTATTTACGGTCAACAGTATGAATCATATTCCATCATCCTACTATCTTAATCCACATTAATTTTAGGAATCCTCAGTGTGGACGATTCGTTATTCCACGGTATCATTAATTTGTACTCCACTTTTTGCCACTCATCAAACATTTTCTTAATAAATCACTCTCACAAAGTTCTTAGAAAATGACTCATCGATTTATTATACATCATTTGCATTACTTCAATATCCTCATTTATTTTTTCTCTATAAAAATTTGACACTTACAAATATTTCCTTGATTGCTACGATCTGAATTAAACAGTTTTTATTTGTCCAAACATGTCATCATTCCCTAAATATTTCCCAGACCCAATAGGAGTTCCATCTGGTTTTAGTGCCCTTCTTGTTTTATCTTCTTGAATGCGTTGCTAGCTCTCACATCTTGATCCTGCTGAAATTTGTTTTCTCTAATCTCCATAATATTTACCATAATCCTCGAAGTTGAAGATTCCTATATGGTTTTTATTCTTTTCAAATTAGCTTTTTCGTCTTTCTCTAATTTCATTCTGTTATAGCAACATCATCATTTGATAACTTTAATTAATTAAATTTCTATTTTTTCTGTGAACTTGGCAAGTTTGTATATAGTTTTCTCCACCCAACCTTTCTGTCTGCATGATACAGTGTCTTATCACTTGATAACTATCCACACTAGTGTATGTCATGTGTAGTGAGTGAGTGAAGCCTTGTGGCTGACCACTTTAATGGACAATAAGCCATGTAGCCTAGTGCTTGTCACTTTGTCCATCTTGAGATGGTTCATGGTTTATACCAAAGTTGCAGCTGCAGAGCCTGAGTTGATGTAGATGGTTCAGAATCAGTGAAATATACGATAAGTTGAACCGATTGCCTTATTGACTAGTGAAATATCATAGGTTGGTTTGTCGCAGAAAATTAATAAACATGATTTATTGATATAGGTTAGTAATGTTAGAATATAATTTTCTTTTAAAAAATTTCAGCAATTATAAACTAAATTTATTGGGGGACTACTATTAGCAATGAACTTCTTGTCGCTAAATGTTGTTGTTTGCAACGAACAATCATGTTGTAGAAAGTGAAACATTTAGCACAACATATTTGATTGCTAATTTACTCTAATCATATGATAGTAGCTAAAGAAGTTTTCGAGATCCCCCAAATATTTGACCTTCCTCAGAAATTTCAGTTGACATACGTTGAAGTTTCGGAATCACTCAATCTCTCTCTCTCTTTCTCTCTCTCTTGCCTATTTGTCTGATTAACCCCATCGCTCACTCTCAAACTCGAAATTACATTGAAGCCTTAATACCATAGGATTTTGGGTTTTTTATATATGCAATATGTTTCCCTCGTACAGTTGCAAATTTCATATTTGGTCTCCATTTCCTTCTCTCTTTTTTAGTGTTTTCATCTAGTGCTCCTTGTGGTGCATTACCACTTATTATATTTAAAACCATTGTGTCAGACTATTTTAATAGTTATTGGCCTATCTCCATTTCTTTTAACTTCAGCAACTTTTTCTATCATGTATCCGTCTACTTCTACACCTATTGTTATATGATTATTTTTGCCACCGGAATAAATAGTTTGTATCCTTACCCAATCTCTTTCGATTTTTCTGCTTTCCATTTGCTTTCTTGTAGACAAACTAAATTAATTTTTCTTTGCTCTCTAGTACTAGTTATTTGAATGGGTTCGGCTACATAGGCAGGGGGACCAACATGGGGACAAGGCGGGAGTAGGTATAGGGAACGCCGGGCATACCAAGTCATTGGTATGCCCAACCAATTAAAATCACCATTCAAGTTGGTTGAGTGCAGTTTTTATGAGTATGTGGGACCAACCAACTCGAATGGTGCATGAGGATTGGTTGGGAATGACAATGACTTGATATGACTGGCGCACCCTATATCTACTCGACAAGGCGGGGCCATGGCCGCCTCAAATAGTTCTATAAATAGGTTTCTAATGAATGGTGGGTTTTAAAATATATATATCTAAATTGCCCCCTCAAATACATGAGTCTTAACGAGAACTTCGTTTTACCTTAATTTTGGAAACTTGCATTTTGAGATGGGTTAAAAAAAATCTAAATATAATCAATATCCTCATTCTTCTCGGTTAATATGTATAAAAAATTATAGTGTACGTATAATCTATAAATAATCTTAGGGTCCGTTTGGTAACCACTATTGCTTTGACCCGAAGCAAAAACAATGTTTTTGTTTTAGAGTGTGTTCAACACTATTTAGAAGCTTTTTTGGTAACGTAAATTTGTTAAAAGATTTTTAGAAGCAAAAACATGAAAGCATGTTTAGTAAAAAGTGTTGCAAGTTTGAAAATTTGAATGGTTAGTTAAAAATGTTATTTTAGAATATATATATTTTTTTGAACAGTGCTTTGCTATAGTGCGGAAGCAAACAAAAGTATCATTTTGATGCTTCCGATTTTGGCCTCAATTTTGGAAGCGATTCGGTACTATTCAAAAGCACAGCAAATATTACCAAACATGTTTCGTGGTTTTGCTTTGCTACAGTACACTAGCAAAAGCAAAAAACACGAAGCAAAAACACTAACCAAACAGGCCCTTATATTTTCTTTATATTAAGAATGTATATTAAGACTTAAATTTTTCTAAAAAATTATTTATAGTGTATAACTTACTTTTATACCACTAATATGTTTTTTAATATTCGTATTACTAATTGTCCCCTCTCCCTTACCAATGCCAAATCCTGGGTCTACCACGAGTCTGTCTGCATTTTGTATAACTTAATCCAATTCTACTAATTTTATGACCATCTCTCTCCATCTTTTTGTATTGTTGTCTTAAATGTCGAAAATGATTGTTTTGGATAAGACTTTGGTTTTGAAATGGTATCATTAAATTATCAATATCTTACTCTTTATTAAATTTAAATTCCAGGGAATATATTTTGTTTTAGTTTTACTAATTTTTAAGCCTTTTGCCTTTAATTCCTTTATTTGGATTTCTAATTCTTATTACCGAGTTTTCGTTAGAAGCATCCAATAGCACTATGTCAGTGACAAACAATATGCACCATTAAATGTCTGCCTTTTTTTTTTTTTTTCTCATCTAAAATAATTTTGAATAGATATGGGCTTAGTACCACCAGTCCTTGGGGCAATTTAGAACGAACTTTAGTCTTGTTTTCCTGACATATCTTGAATGATTCTTTATAAGTTCTGCTTATCAAAAAAAAAAAAATAATTCTTTATAAGTTCTGTTGGGATGTTTTCTTTGTTAATCCCACCAAATTATTTCTCTCGGAACCCTGTCATATGCTTTTTTTTTTCTATGTTTATGAAACCCATATAAATCTCTTTTGTTTACTCCAATTTTCAATTCATTTTCTTAGTAAATAAATAGCCTCCATCGTGGATCTCCCCATAAATCTGAATTGGTTATCAAATAGTGTGTCATTAATCTTTGTTTTATAACCCTTTCTCATATTTTCATTGTATCTCATTAATTTAATTCCTCGATAATTGTTGTGATGTTTAATATCTCCTTTATTTTTCTAAATTGGTACTATCATACTTTTTCTCTACACTAAGTTGGTAAATCTAATAGAAAGCTACTTTTATTCCTTGTATTGTGCCCCCATACATATATATATATATATATATTTTTGTGGTTGGATCATGGTATCACTACTAGAAATCCATTCAACTTATGGAAGACGAGTGTTGGTAGGTTTGTTTCAGTTACAAGCCCTCTCCGGGCTCTATGGGAAAGCTAATCCTAGGAAATCTTATCTATTTTTTATTAAGCATGTCCTCTCGATCACATAATAATGTCGAGCTTCACCCATTTTCTTTTATCTTCTAGTTGAGTTTTGTGAGCTTTAGTTACTTGAGTTGATTTATCAGTCTAACTCAACAGATCCTGCTGCTGGAAATTAAATATTCAGACTTAGGTCTAAAACTACACAAGTAAGAATAGGAACATAGAATGCTTGCTTCATCATTCATTCGACATTATTGCCTTTTGAAGTGCACTTTTTAATAATGCATTTGGAAGCTGCTGACTGTTGTCTAATTTCATCATTTTTTTTCCTAGTTGATACTCAACCCCCCTAAGGAATTGTTTGCACCCAAGAGGAGTCGAACCTTAGGAATAGATATATATATATATATATATATTAAAGCTCAAAATGTTCTGGAAAATCATTTGCTATAATTGTATTTGATGTGTAACTTGGGCCGACTTTGAATAAGTGTCTTGTTTGACAGGTTGTCAGGTTCCTTTCTTTGGAAGCTATATAGATTTTTCAGAAGTTTTGCAACATGACTGAGCACTGAAAAGGGATGGAAAGGAGCTAGTGGACATACTATTTCACATGTCAATATTACGATTTTCTACTTCAAGCTGAATCTGCTACTTCTATACTCTTACCGACAAATTTTATTCGGGAAAAAGACGTGAATTCTGGAAACATAAACCCTAGGAGGATGGAAAAAACTTGTGTAGGAGGCATTTGACATTTGAACTGACTATGAATATACTACTAATTGATTGCCTACGAATAGCCTTGCTAGCAATTACTTAAATTTAGAATTAGTTGACTAAAATTAATTTTTTTCTGTAAATAATTAAAATTAATTAATAGTTGAAGGTAGGGTTGCATTTTTATATGTTGTGTGTACAATAAGGCTCTGGATATTGAAGAATGAAGGAAGCATGGTAATGTGCACGGAGAATGAACTTTTTAAGGGTCATGATGTCTGCTGACTCCGATGCCCCTCGGCTTTGATTTGGGGGCCTGGATCCGACCCACATCTTCGTTTCTTTCGAACATTTTAATATGTTCGTGCTAAACGTATGTGTATGTAAATGTATGTTTGTCTACATCTTTACATTTTTGTTTCTATGATTCATAATTGTGTGAATATGTTTATATATGTATGTTTTTTATTTGTTAATGAATAAATTTAAGTTCCGTATCTTCTAGTCGTCAATTTTTATTCTGGTTACCATGAAACTAAAACTATTTCTCTTTCGTGCTTTTTAAAATTGAAAAGTTGAGGCACGCTTAGATTTTGCATCCAATTCGTTGGTAAATTATGGATCTGCGTTTAACCAAAATGATTATGGATTTGGAGGGAATTTTCTTCCGTATAGGACCCGAATCCTCTCTAGTTGAATCCTCTCTAGTTGAATACAAAAAAGTCGGAATGTTTAGTAAATATATCAAAATTTGTTTGTAAAATACATCTTGAACCGAACAGAACATGATGTATTGTTCACCGGAGGGGATTATGTGTAAATATATATATGCAAATACTGGTCTTTTACTTTCTAGGGTGGACAATTTATATAAAGATTTGGGTAAGTGTTATTCACCTCCAAAGACTGACTTAGACACAAGGCTCCAATTATTTATTCCAACAAATGAAATGACCAAACCAGCCTTCTTGTGAGTTTTCTCTTGTAACTTTGTAAGTTGTCTGTTTCTTTGTGCAAGTGTAACGGTTGCTTTGCAATATATTTTTTTAATTTTTTTTTTATTATTATTAATTTTTATCGGGGTGCTTTGCCATTCAACATAAGTTCAACTTAAGTAGGGATTATAAAAACGAATAAATAAATTTTGATTTACAGACAAAAAATTTGATTAAATAGAAGAACAAAAACTAAATTTAAAGCACAAATTTTGTGTAATTTTGCACCCACAAATACATCCAAAATAAACCCAATCCCCACACTCCTCCCGTTGCAACCCTCCCACGTGACAATGTTGTAGGTTCGTATTCGTTCGGGCTAGTTCAACCAAACACCGGATGAAAATGTACCGTGCGACGTACGTTCTGTAACCAAACACCCCAGTAAATTTTGGATCTCGATCTATCTCATTAAATTACCCTTCTCAGTAACACTCAGTACCGTGGCGTCAGCAAATACAGTAATCAGAAGTAGACAAATGGTGCGTGTCAAAAGCGGCGTACAACTGAATACGGATAGGTCCAGATACACCTTAATATAATCAATCTAACGGATGAGTTTGATCCCACTACTTCTCAACCACATGGCAACTGGCAGATACTTGGTGTGTAGGACCCACATCTGATCCATCTCAATCCGATAAAGACGTGATGGATTTCGCTCATCAATTAATCCATGGGTCCCTAATAAATAAAAAAATAATAATTTAGGATTAAGTAAAATGACAATCCCTGTATTTGTCATAAGAATATATATATACAAATTGGTTGTTTTTCGAACAATAATTTGTGAAGTTTGAAAAAATTGACAAAAATATCTCTGTAGTCATTTACCACATATGACACATAAAGAATTGATCAAATTATCCTTTGTCAGTTTAGTGGACATTTTAAACTTTACAACTTAATGAATTGGGCCAATTTACTCATCCTTAATATTGGATGTAAAAAAGTGGAGAGGAAAAATTTGTACAACAATGAATAAAAAAATTATAGAAAATTCATATGAAATCGAAACGGAGCAAACGAAAATGTTTTGAAAATAGATTCATGGAAGTATAAAATTGAGTCTTTTGGTATGATCGATATCTAGAAGGCTGTCAAATAAATAAATTAAAAACCTAATTTTAAAGAGTGGAAAAATCTAGACAGTATCTGTTGTTGAATTTTTATAAAAATATCTGTTTGGCCAAAAATTATGAAAATTTTCAAAGTAACTAGACATGCGGAGGAACTTTTGATAAAAGTTCCATATTAATCAGAATATTACAATACTTTAGAAAAAATAATGAATTTCAGCATAATAAATTGGCGTCATTTTGTTACTCATATTTACTCGAGGGTAATTTAAATATTTCAACATGTCTGATATTTTACAATAAAATTGATTTTATTATTAAGGGACAATTTTGTCTTTTTGAACCATTTAAAACAGGGACAATTTCGTCTTTTTGAACCATTTAAAACAACTACCAACCTTTATTTTATTCAAAAATTTAATTATGTCATTCATATAGTATGATACAATTAATTAATGGTACATTAAAATGAAATATTAAAAATGCAGAAAAATCTTTCCCGCCTCTTATTGTGGTGATTTCATTCTTGGATTATTCAATTGCAAAAAAAAAAAATGTACACCTGTTTTTTTTTATCTCACAAAGAAAAACTTTTTACTTCAGAAATTAAAAGAAAAAGTTACTAGAATACAGTTGGTTCTTGATGGTGACACTTCAAAATTGAGTGTACTAACAACGTTTTATTATTTGAAAAGTGCGTCATCTAATATGTTACGCCTTCAAACAACGGCCTTGTACTTTGGTAGTGACTAGTGAGTAGCGACACTTCAAAATTCAGTACGTCTACAGGTAATTAATTATGTTACAACTAGCACGGTGCTGTCACTTGAAGTGATGGTCTTGTGTTTTCGGATAACAAAAAAACAAAATTACAAATAGGTACAACAACATAAAATTAGTACGGAGTAGTATTTTACTTTCAAAAGAATAAGTGTTGCTCATTCAATCTAAAGGTGTTACAAAATGGGAGTTGATAACAAGGTTTACGAAGAGAATAGAGAATATTTTAGAATCAAACAGATTTTTTAAAATCAAACTATGAAATTAATGGAATCGAACCGAATTGAATCAAATCGTGAACATAATCAAACCATGAATTTTTTATAATATAATTAAAATTATAATTTTTTTTTTTCGTATTATATATTAGGGTTAATTACAATGACACCCCTGAAATTTATATTGACAGTCATATACAACTTAGCCATTTTTTGAACAAAGATACCCCCTAGGTTTACAAACTTGAACAATGACACCCCATTTTAAAAAAACGGAGCCAAACACAGCCTTAAATGACATGAAATGTCTAATATGCCCAAAGATATATTTTAATCCTCACCTAAAATGACCAAACTACCCTCGCAACTCATCTCTCTCTTTTAACATCTCATTATCTCATCTCATCTTATCATCTCATCTCTCTCTCTCTCTCAACCCAGTTCCTCCTCTTCTTCCACACCCTCCCAATCCGTAAATCAAACCCAAAATTCTCTCTATCTCACACACACACACACACAGTATCTCTCAAACCCCCATCTCAAACCCCTAATCTCGATTCTTGCTCGTCGATTCCATGTCGCAGTTCCTCTCATGGCTGAGCCCTCCACCGGCTGAGCCGCCCGCCGTCATCGAGTGTCATGGAGTTGGGTTTTAGATTCGTGTGATGGGTGACTATCTCGATTCGTAAAGCACTTTTAGGACGACGACCGGCGAGCAAAATGGAATGCTCATCCGGTGGAGAGCTTGACTGTGGATAGATCGGTCGTGGAGGACTCGCGGCGGCCAGTGAAGGCTTGGCTGGTGAGGGCTCGGCCGTGTTTAAGATGGCCTTGGCTGTGGGCGACGGGAAAATGGCCTCGGTTATGGGCGACGGGCTGTTAACACTGAACACCGGTGAATAGCTTGGCTGGATAGAATCGGCGGTAGTTGGCTCGATTGAATTCGAAACGGCGATGAAGGGCGCGGTTGACTGACAGAGGCGATGACGGGCATTGACTCGTCCGAGTTGGACTCGGTGGTGGAAGAGCTCGGATGTGGTGAGCGAGGTTGGTTCAGCTCGGCGGCGGTGGCAATGGCTGTGAGTAAACGATGGAGGAATGGACTGCGGTTATGGATGGCTCGGATGAGGGCAACGTGTAGACACTAAAATTTAGTGGGCTTTGGTTTTAACGAATGGACCCATTAAATATAGGCCTAATGTTTAAATAAATTATTTAATTTACCAGGCTTGGTCCACTTAAATTATTTAATTAGCCCAGCCCAGATAATTAAATGAAACGATAATTATTCCTAATAAAATATATTTTGAATAATTGTCTTTAAGGATAATTATCACAATATAACCGGCCCGGCCCAGTTATAGTTTTATCCTTATCAGGAGATGACACGTGTCATCATCCTATTAATCCAAGAAGTCTATAAATAGAGGCTTGGAGGAAGAAAAAAAGGGGAGAGGATTCAGAATTCCTACAAATTCAGACACAAATTCAGAATTCAGAAATTCAGAGACTTAGAAATCCAGAGACTCAAAATTCAGACATAAATTCAGAATCAAAACCCAAAAGTGAAGAACATCAAGCACATCCAACAACATGCCGTTCTTCATCAAATTCCACAGTGATTCAAGAACAAGCTCGTGCAGCCCTTGGATCCAACCAACCAAAAACAAGGAGATCGAATCAGAGGACCATTCTTTTTTTGTAAAAGATATTACAAAGGACTGTACTCCACATTCATAAATTAATAAAATTCTATTTTGCTCCATATTTTGTTTCTATTGCAGACTTACAAAATTTGTGTGTACAAATTTGTGGCACGCCCGGTGGGACAACCTTTGCCTCTCATCTCTTTCTCCTACCATCAAGTTTCTTCTCTATCAGATTTTATGGCTCCCCCTAAGATTCAGACAGACAAGAAAGCCCGAAAGAACATCGCTATTGCAAAGGTCGACGCTTAAGCCACCATGAAAAGTGGCACGAAGACCAAATTAAGCGATGGAAGTATCTTGACGGGCCCTGTGACACGTAGCAAGTCCCAGGCGATGGCATCATTCAAACTTCAGCAAGATGTGGTGAAAATTAATCCTGCAACACCGACGAATGTGAAAACTCAACATGTCAAAAACCTTGACATTGTTCCAGATGAGGCTCCACCACCAGATTCACTTCGTTCTATCTATGATGCTCACTCTAGTGTCGGTTCACCCCCAGAGTCACCACGTCAGACTTCGGAGCAATCAATCACTTCAAGGAACGTGGATTCTCAAGGCCTATCATACTCAGATGTGGTTGCTGCTATGATGACTGGAGCTGCTACGGTGGAGGAACAACTAGCAACTATGGCTCATTCCATTGAGAACCTCACAAAGACTATTGAAGAAAAGGACTTGCAAATCGCTACACTAATGAATAAATTGGAAGTTCA